GTAGAGTCACGAGGCTTTTGTAGAATCGAGGCATTCCTGACTCCGCGAGATAATATTTTGTTGCAAAAGAAAGCTCCGGATCCAAGTTGAATACTAAGGGCGAGAGTATGGACACGAGCGTTGAAATTATATGAGCTAATAATTTTATTTCCGTATCTCCTTTGTGCCAATAGCTGGCCCTCTTCTTATATGGAGTACTGCCGTATTTATTTATATAATGTCCTTATATATATTTATAATTGGGACGAATGACATCATACACGAGGCAACAGAGGCTACGACAAAACTAAACAGAGTTATTATATACCTTACGACTGTGGCTTGTTCGCTACAAACATCTCCACTTCGCCATAATAGATTGCTAGTCGTTGTAATTTCGATTTTATTCTTGCGGGTAAGAAATTTCAGTAACATATCTTGCTCTGCTCCCATCTTCTATCTCTAAACAATCCTCAAAAGTTACTCTCAATAACACCATTATGTATTTTGTTAGTTAACAAATTTAATGCATTCTACTGTGAACGGTTGTGCGTCTACCCTGGGCTGGCTGGGTTAACTACACAACCAACTCAATACTTGTCAGAACCTAATGATATAGGCAGTGATCGGAGCCATCCACAGATTTTCTGTTCATTTTGCATTTGCCTTATACTTATCGTCCTACAGATTCAGTGCCTCTTCTGACCTGGCTTTTGTAGGAAGTCGCAATAGAGGAATCCATCGACTTGAAGTTGTTTGACGGATCAGAGAAGGAAAGCAGTTCAATACAAGGGTAGTCGGTGCCTTATGGGCCTGTAGTAAAATCTAACAGTTCAACGGCGCCGACTTGCCTGTTTGTGAACGTGTACTTCCATTCTATTAGGTGGGGCGGCTATACAAGCGAAGGCCCTAGGAAAGCCAGGACTTCTGCTCAAACTGCTGCGGGTTGAAAATGCTTTGACGAGCTCAGGCAGAGAGGTTGATAGGACGTGTGCTACAAATGGTCGTGTTTTACTCCTCGTTGCACAACCCTGTTGGTAGTCTATTCAGTCTATTACTTCGTACTGTCCCCCCCCCCCTTCTGCTTACTCTGCCACTCGTTTGCCCGTGCTCCATCCTTCGGCTATGAAGACAGTAGGGATTTAGTACATGGCAGCAATATCGCACGGCTACGAAGATTGCATCGGATTTATATGTTTGATATGTGCTACGATGCACTTTATTAACAGTCAGCAATATCAGACGCACCTTCCCCGCTAACAAAGATCTCGTTTCATACAACTCCATGCATGGCCTATAACAAGATCTGGATGAGATTTTTAATATGTGTAGCAAGAATACGCTGAAGTTACTCAAACGAATTAATTATCGCCGGATATAAGATTATTTTATAAGTGCGAGATATTACTAACAATCGCAATGCTTCGAGTTAGAGTATGTCACAGTATTTAGCGCGTTACCGAGTATAGCTAAGAAAAGAAGTTATACCTTTTTATGCGAATCACCAATGTGTGTATATACTGTGAAACAAAATAAAAATTAGAAATCATAGATGTTTTAGCGTCGTATAAGGGGAGCACGGACGATAGAGAATTGAGTAATGAACTGATTGAGGAGTATTGATGCACAGCAGGACTTACGGCAAACTATGTATACACATCTGTCCGTCAATGACGCCATGCCGATCGATTAGTTATATCGTGCAGGGCTTTTACCATGAGCTCTTTTCCCCAGCCTTTTCATACTGCTTCGCCCTGTCATTTAATCAAGGGTAGGTCGACGGAAGAAAGGACATTTTGAGATCATGTTGTGTTCTATCTAACCCACGGTCATTGAACCGTAGTAACGACGGCTAGCAAGAAGAGCAGTTGACGGCGATAGGGGAAAGAATACGTTTAGTGTGAGCTTAGGCCTTCACGAAGATTCTGTGGCACGGGTCATCAGCCAGCAGCCGCCCAGCTAGCCACGGCCTGAATAGTCCGACCGTTCCCTAGGTTCGGGCTCTTGTTGGCACGCAGAATTGACTCCAGTTAAACCGACGGTTCTACCCGCCTTCGGATGTCGTGCGCGGTTGCTGTATGAGTACGCACACTTGTATGTGTGTGTGACAGGATTCCGTCGCAGATTCCTCGACCCTCAATTGCTCAACGACTCCAAATTCCACGCAAGACTTTCATAGACAGCGGTTGAAGGCCACAAGGTCCACAGGGATGACTAGGACTAGCGCTGGTAGCGTCAGACGATTTCATCACAGAAGAAACAACGCAAGCCTCGCGCGAATCCGTAGCGAAACGCGAGTGCTGTGCATTTGCGGCTTACCCCATCGTAACGATGACGATGATGTTCGTTTGTTCGTCACGACAGCGATGTTGACGGAGAGCAGCAGTTAGTGAAACGGCAGCGCGTCCCCACTCCCTGACTAGAAAATCGGCTTGTGGCAGCAGCGGTAGTCGCGAAGCCGACGGAGGCTACTAGAACAGAAATGTGACGTTCCCTCGCCCCGCTGATTATGTGACGATGGTAGCTACGGACGAGGAACGACCTTCTGAGATGTTGGAGCCCGAATAATCTGAAGGTTCAAACAATCGTTTTGAGGGCCATCAACTGCGTCGTGGGTTCTGGAACAAGTGAAAAACGTTAAGGCCAAAAGAAGATGCTGGACTCAAACGATTTCAAGAAAGGAAGACCGCCATGAATCCGGTTGGTCTTCAGAAGATCCGTAAATTGCTAGAAATTTGTAGCTTTGGAGCGTACTGCTTCAAAGTTACAAAATATAAATTATGCTTCGTGTGAAGTCAAATTGCTGGCAGTACCATACAAATCTGCGTATGTCTTTGTAATCAACAAATGTAGAACGAACGAAAACACGAATTTCAATGAAAAATAAAATAATTTGTTGGTTAGGATATGATCCTCTAGATCACCTTTTTTTCATTTTATCTTCAATCAAAAAGACGACTGTAGGAAAACGACACGGTGGGCTGGCCGTTTATGCAGCTATCTTCATTGGTTACCGGTGTGGCTTTATCTTCTGTTAGTGTATGTAGCGTAGTATACATTGCACTTCTATTTGATTGTAACAATAAAGATGATGAGAAAATATGCTTAACATATTTTGTAAGCCTTTAGCAACATGTTTAGCCCCCCCTCTACCTGAGCAGGGCTTCTACTAATAGTTGCTTTCTATTTTTTGGAAAAAAATTCCTACATAAAATTGCTCCATTCTTAGCAGCAGGTATTGAAAATTGAATATCTTAAGAGAATTAAAATGACAGATAACAATTTTCCGTGGATCTAATCCGCCAACGCAGCCGTGCATGATACGTCCGCACTTATGCATAGGCTCCTACGCTAATGTATAATGTATTATCATACGCAGTATTGTACGCAGGACAAGAGGTTTACAACATGAGTAAAACGGCTGGCGTCGTCGTTGTCTCTCGGTATGGAAGAGTCCATTCCTGCAACAGCCGATGGCGTCACATAAGGATAGTAGACTAAGCCCCAGCCGCTATTCATATCGAAGCTATGGCGTGAAATGAGGCATAAGCCATTTGTCAGCAGCATGCAAGAGGTGGTTCGTTACCTGGTGGTGTCATGACGCGGCGATGATGATAGTGATGGCCCATCCCCAGTCACTTTTCGTGCGCCTACGTTTCATGTGTCTGTATCTGCGAATTCCCGTATACCCCCGTTTTTTGGAATCGACAAGTCGATACTGTAATTTGAACAGTATCTCTAGACGTTTCTCAATGCACCATGATGCTTTTGTTTTTCATCATTTCTGCGACGTAAACATGGCTGCGCCATTTGCTAACGTGCCGTCATCGATATCGTGAGAATGACGTGGAGAGCGTCGGCTTTGAATTTTTTTTTATTTGCGTCATTGCAGACATCGCTGTGAGAACATAAGGTTGGCAAGTTTCTCCTATAAAAGGCTTGGTTAAATAAGGTTTAATTTGCTAGTCACATGTTTTTGCATATGTGCTTGCTCGTAAACTTAGTGACAGGTGGCGTAGAAAGGCAACGATAGGAAGAGATGGAATCCATTATACTAAAGAAGTTGAATGGGCGCAGAAGGGAAGTAGCTGAAATAACATGTGCCATCCGCTGGAATGAGGCGTCGAGTGGCGTCAGTAGCGGCAATGTTGCAGTGGCAATTCCACATAGACTAAAGGTACGACAATAGAATGAACCAAACGTCTCGGAAGGCCGGCCTCTTACTCATCATTAAAGGGTTGTCAAATCGGGTTTTACCTCCTTGTATATCTTGCCCATTGGTACACCTAGGCTGCATTGGTTACCGTCTTCTCCAGATGTTTTCTACGGCAGCCACGTATGCATAAGCTTATTCCTATATATTTAGGTCGAATAAGTTATGGCAACATGAAATGCTTGCTTTTTTTTTGCGTTCCACTCCAAATTTTGCCATTGACTCTGTCAACATTTCTTTACGACCTTTAGGTAATGATTTGTTTCCGGACTAACCCAAGGCACAATGTAAATATCGATCTCAACTGCAAACAACACTTGAGTATGCTTCAATTTTTCGGCCACCTGCAACTGAAACAATAATTGATAAGGATTTAATGTCGGTGGACACAAATCTGATCATATCTTACAGTTACAGTTTGGAAGTTTAATTGGGTGTAGCGAGCGAGCGCACGCCCCTTAACACGACCCATTTAATGCAATAACGGGTACTGCGCAAAAAAGACATACATTAACTGAAACAAACATACAAAACTCTGAGTTGAATACGGAATGCCAATCTTTGTAGCACACTATGTAAAAGCGTACGACGTGCCAACCGTCCGAATAGGGTACATGCTGAAAGAACATTTTTAGCGTTCAAAAATGGCTTCACTGGCTTGTTGTGCCCACCTGAAGATCGCCAAAGACAGAATAAATTTATTGTGTTGGCTAAATTCAAACAACTTATATATATATATATATATAAGTTGTTTATGTATTATAAACAACGTAGAGTACACAGCTAATCATTCAGGCAGACTATTCACAAAGAGTCCAAAATTATGCGCCGCCTAACCCAATGAATTAGTAAGTGTCGCTTCAGGACTATTCGTACACCTACAACCTAGGTATGTCGTTATTTTAATTTTTTCACAAAGAGCGGCCCTAAATAGATATTGCTATATAGCAATGTCTTACAAACACCCAACCCTCTGCATCGTAGTAAGCAGAAATGAGTTCCCGTCCATTTCTGCTAAAAAAAACACTTTGTTTGATATAACTCAGAAGCTATGCAAAGCTGAGATTGTCAGTGTCAGGGAAACGAATATGTAGAAAAAAAAAAAAAGTAATCATTTTGGCAGTTTTAGTTGCAGCAGAACAATAATATTAGTAAAAATAATAATGAATCTTCAGCAGAAGTTATGCCTAACACAATTTTCGTTTTGAATTACCTAAGAGCTAAAGCAGGTCTCATTTCCATAACATGCTGGCCTCATTAATGGCTTTTGTGAAATCCTACAGGCTTTTTTCATATCTACAGCTGTTAATGCTGCTACTTTGTGGGCAGTTGATCGCCTCACATCCCCGTTCCCTGTTTCCTCTTCCTCAGCTGACGAAGCTGTTGGCGTAATTCGAGTCGCGGTTGGTTTATCTATGGGCAGTAGCCGACGTGACGTGACTTGACAGACGAAGATTAGGGCTGGGCAGACCGATGCTATCTCCTCTGCTGGCCTTGCTGCTTACCTACCCCCCGGTTCGATTGGGTACGCCGCCGCGGGCAGGCATGTCCAAAAGAAAAGAAGAAGTGTCAAAGACAAAACGTGGCACGCTGCTGCTGCTGCTATCCAAATAACCTGTTTGCTTTGAGACACGACGCCATGGCAGAATGAACAGTCGTCCCTTCTGAGCCCACCGATACATCATGAACAACAAGCACAGCCAGCTATAAGGCACAACAAAGTAACCTAACAACAGATTTGCGTAAGTGTTCTATGTATGAATAGGCGGTGGAATAAGTCAAAGGAGAAGAAGACAGCCTAATCAAGGATATAATAATTAAAGAGCTCATTTTTACTGTTCATGTTGAAGCGTTGATTGAGTTAGCCAACAACCCATCGTCAAATGTAATAATAACTTTTACCCTGTTTCGTTTGGAGAGGACTGAAATTTTCTGCCACCAACAATGCCAATAATCCTTATCTGTAGATACTGTACTGCCTATTTTCTATTTGTCTTTCTAATTACTTTGAACCAAGCTACCGATGTTCGTTTACCTGCGTGTTCGTCTACTAAACAGCATCGACAAGTAATAAGTGGTGCAAAAAATAGGTAAGGAACAACCTAGTTTTAGCTAAGATAGCGTCCAAATTGTAACAACCTTGCCTCAAAACGCATCACTCACAACGATTGTTCGTAGGAAATCTGCCTTACACTTATTTACAATTCAGATTTTCTCTCGTAGACTTGACAGATGCGAACAAACCATTTCCAGTCTTTATTTTAAATAAGCGATCCTTCAGGTAGGCCCTGCACCAGTTTGTTTTTCTAGGAAAAATGTTTCCTAAATGAAAAATAGAGAAAATTAGAACCCTGTGTATAAAGAGCGTTGTGATATTTCTGGCCAACGAGTAAGCGTGCGTATCCTTTAATAGTTGAATGCTGTTGACTCCACGCATGCCATCTATTGCAACTTAGGCCTGTCTGCTTCAACTGAAGATATTGAGCACGCGCAAAAGAGGAAAAACGATATTGTTGCACACTTTCAGCCGATTATTGGAATAACATAAAGGATATTCTATATCCTTGGACGTCTTGCCGAGCCCCTACTCCTGGCACGTCTTCACGATTCAATTTCGTATGGATTTGCTGGACCACGTTAAATTTGCAGCTATGTGTCTAAGGAATGTGTCTAATTCTAGTTAAAATTAATCAAATAACAACAATAGCAACCCGGTTGTATTTTAAAGTGTGCTTCCACATTTTTATACATTTGTCTGCCTTAGATATTCTAGATGATTCGTTTACTGACGTGTGTGCATATATCTTGCGAAGACTCTCACACTCACTAACATTCGCATGCATTTCTATACCATTTCTCATCCTTTTACCGTCCTTTCACCAACTTATACGTCAGCTGGCTTTGCTTGTCTATCAGATATCTGCGAAAGACCGACGGCTTCGACAGCGGGCAGAGCGTTGTCCATTCAGAGAGCTCTGCAGAAGAAGCCCTGCACCGCAGCATGAACTCAACTGCATAAGTGGTCGCCAAGAGGAGCAGGCGTTGGTGGGGAAATCTCTATCCTACCGTTACCTCTACCGTCAGTGTTCCGTAGGACAACTCACGCCAGAGCCGCTTCATATTCATGGCATTGGCGTTCATGGCAGTGTAGGAGGCTGCATGCCATGTTGAGGATGGCAGACTTGTGATTGGCAGGCAACGAGGGCAATTGAGTACCATAGCATAGTCTTTCGTCTATAGGAGAAAGACTCTGACTCTTCTTCCGATATGGTCTCTTGGTGATGCAGCAGGCCCACAGTAACACAGGTTCAGTCAGACTAAGTGCCTATAGGTGCATCCCGGCTTAGCCATCGTCCATCTGTATATATATGTGTGATTCGAACAGCGTCAGCCTGGTGGTATCTTGCCTTGAAAATGAATTAATATAAAGAAGGTTATCTGGCCAAAAAGGGCGCAGGGTGTGACCCCTTCCACCCCCGACCGCTAGTGAAGCTCTGGCTAATCATCAATTATCAAACCTATCCGAGTCATATATCGTTATTTATAGAAAATCCGTTTCTAGCAACGTTTGCATAGGCGATATTTACAGAAGTTGTCTATGTTACGCACGATCACTTTTTTGTACACATAGAAATTATTATACACATATATATATGCAAGAGTGCGTCATGTGTTTTTGTAATAATGACAGGCGCGTCAATGCATTATAGTTTTGTTTAAAATCTATAACCCCTACTTACCAAAAGTAAAATGTTATTTTGGGCGGATTTTTAAACTTTTAACCTAAAAATATAACAGCCGAAACTTCAGAATGAGTAGCCAGGAAGAATAGCTCTCTTTAAGAAAAAACGTTTTGTTGAGGTTAAAAGGGAATCAGTTTAGTTCTCTGTAAGGACTTTTTATTTCTACATCTTCTGCACGGTTTATAGTGTAGACATATAGGAACGTTAGGGGTAATGCTGCTACGAGACAAAGAGTTAGATGCGATGTTCATTATAGTCCGTAGAATCTATTCGCGTTTGCATCCATTGCTTTATCATGACAGTTTAGGGAAACTGACCTTGAAGCCGATGCATGATGGTACTGCATGTAGGGAGTCACATAAATTGGCTGCGAGTACTTTCTTCTTCTTCTTCTTCTTCTTCCAGAGAAGAAAAAACATTAGACAAAAGCGCTAAAGTAACGGTTATCAAGAAGAAAAAAGAAATGTAATACAGATGCATATGTTACGAAGAAGAAGGATTAGGTTGAGCAGGAATAATTTCAGATATCGAAGAATTAAAAAAACAAACTGTACCAAAAAATATATTGTGACGGTGTGGAACATGTAACAGTTATGTAAACATTACTACAAGTAATAAAAAAAAACCTATCACCAAAGAAAACATCTACTTTTCTTTCTAGGGACTCATATATACATAAATAGAGATCAATGTAACCCGCTTCAATGAGCGGTCTAGGGCTGGTTCACCTGAACTTGAACTCAATATACTGCATATGTATTATAGCAATTAAGCAAATGCGTTGCAGGCCTAGTATAATAGGAAGGCGTTAAGCTTGGTTAAAATGTATACCTTTCATTTTGATCTATATATATATATATTATGGTAATTTGAATATGATCTTTGTTTGTATAGCTGGCATAAGTAACAAGACCCTGTAGACAAGACGAAAATCAAGTTGTTAATTTGTCTGTAAACAAATACGCATCTGTTTGTCTATTTGGATCTGTTCTGCAGCCATCCCAATTCTGCGATAGCTCTACCGTAAGTTTGATGCCTTGGGTTTTTCTAGATTTTTCATAGGAATGATGACTTAGAAATGTTAGTTATGGCTATAAAATACATATGTAATTACTTGCTGATTTTAGGGGACCATAGAACACCCTAACCATGCAATACTGTATTTTTCATTTTCATTCAAATATTCCCGGCTGAATCATACGTCATCTGTGCTGACCTCTGACGCATTTTCTTGACACTTTCTTGACGCAAAGACGAATTACTTTTGACAAATATCTAAAAATCGACTATAAAGTGGAGCAATGTTGATAAGCATGCTTTACGAGTTTGCTCCCAGCACCCTATCCGCTGTTAATTTATTGCTTGTTTATTAGGACGTGTTATTATAAGTTTATCTAAGTTATTGAATCGAGTCAGTTATTGATTCAGTCAGTAATTGACTAATAGTAAAACTGTTGATTTTGAAAAGTCGGCGTCGAGGGTTTCTTCTATTTCCAATACAATTATGTTGCTGGCGTGAAGGCAGCAGCACTAACTTTTCCGAGAAACATTCGGTTGACGTATATTAGTGACGCGGTCGGTGTCGCAATCTGAAGACAATTAGGAGAGGCCGGAACCACTAACACGTCGTGCGGCCTCTCGTTCCTCCGACTTTTTGGATCAGCCGTGTCAAACGTCGTCTTTCGACACTGATACTGGCACATCCAGTTCCGACAAGCAGCTGTATCGGCCATGCAGGTGCTAGCCTTCCGATATTACGACCTATGCTTTGTTTCAAATTTCGTTTTCACTACGTCCAACGGAGGTTACGTAGCTAACCAGTTATGAATGAATGAATCGACGATGCGGATCTACCGAAAAATAAAACTTTACCTCATGTTCTAAAGTTGCACTTGCTTTCGAACGAGATATCGCTCGCTCGGACCAGAAGGACTGGGTAGAAAAAAGTGAGTGGGTTTGCTCGACTTAGAAGCGGCACGCATCGATCGTAATAGAGATTTAAAAACAGCTCAAGATAGCAACATGAGCCGCGGCGACAGCCCCCCAGAAACGGACCCGTAACGAGAACCCATTTTTGGGTAGTGCTTGAAATTTGCCAACCTTTGAAAAAAGAACATTAGCTCTGGATTGAACTGGCACGTTCAACAGTTTCTGCTACACATACGGTGGCTGCTTTATTGCAATGGCTGTAGACTGAAATATTGGTTTCCAATATGTGACACTAGAGTAAAGGAACTTAACGAGGTTAGATTGGCTAGCGGACGCTAACTGTATGATTCAGTTTGCCGAACCGCTTTACTTGGTTTAGTTCCTAGCTTTGTTTCTGTTATTGCCTGTTTGATATATGTACTTCACACTGTCACCTGTCTGCGGCAGAAATGAACGGCGAACAAATGGCCTAGACGGCATCTTTTTGAATAGAGAAAAATATTAATTAGCTTGTGCCAATGGTAAAAGCACACACACGAAAGCGCCAACAAGAGTCTTGACGAAGCATTCACTTGACGTACCCACGTGTATTTACCCAAATATCTAACTATGTATGGGCATATTGGGATTCAATGCATTTCACCGCATTGCATTTGTCAGTAAACGTAAAATAATTGGGCAATCGGTCCAGGGCAAAACAAGTAAAAACAAAATCACTCTAGTACTCCGCAGATATTCATAGAAATATGCATATATTCAGAGGCGTATATATGCACACCGAACGATGCTCCGATACGCAATTTTTTAGTTGTTATAAGCGAATCCGAAAGTCGAACAACTTTTGATCTATGCATCGTTAGTAGAAAATATATGGCTGGTGACAGAAACATATGGGTAAACATCGGTCGAGTTGAGTCCAGGGGAGATGAGTTAAAAAAAAACATCTTATAGTTTTGAAACTCAACGCCCAATGGTTGAGTTTTTGTTCCTTGGAAGCCACAGGGCTGAAAACATTAGTCGAGGAGGTGTAGAATACTACGTGAGTAATGCAAACGTGGTAAATTTGAAGGTTGAGGTGTTGAAGGATAGCGGGAAGGTCACCAGAGGACGGGATCCGTAGAACAGGAACGTATTACGCAATCGAGGACGTTTTTCTCATCTTCCCCATCTCTCTCATAAACTCGTACTTTACACGTAACGTGTTACTGAAAATGGGGGAAATAAGTGACAAGTTGGTGTTCCGCGAATTGACTCTAGCCCAGTACGAAATGCGTGTAGTATGTTCCACTCTCAACGTACCGCTGGTCAACAAAAAGCCCACCCAGAGCATACGGCCGCCTTAGATGAAGCATCTCTACCGCCAGCGACAAAGGGATCAGCAAGAGAATGGTGTCGCCCTAAAAAGAAATCGAGTTCAGAGCCGTGTCTAGCAGGTTCAGACGTAGGGCGATGGTTGCATCGACAACGGACATCAGTGGTATCTGCTACTACGAGATACTCACCGAAAATAAAAGAATGCAGCCCGCTATCTCGAGTTTTTCAGGATACTCATGAACCGTTGGCATGGCAATCGAAAATGCACACCCCGGTTACTTGACGACGACCCCACACCTAATCGTTGTATTTCAATTACTTCCTGCATTGAGCAAAAGAGTATCCAACATTTATTCTAACCCACTCGTCCTTGTCTCTGAATTCGCGTGATTAGAACAACTAGTGGGAAAATTCCCTGACGAGAAGTTTCTCTCCTACAGCAGGCTGCGTGGATAAGCCGCTTCTTGTATGACGCCTCTCGTCGACATCATTTTATAGAAAAAAAAAAAAGCTAGCAACAATATTGAGAAGTTTACGCATCAGATAAAATCTAGGAAATAATGAGTTTCAGGACTATTCGGAATATTATTATTCACTACCTTAATTGACACTTGTGCATGAGGTTGATTATAGTAAAGTCAATAAAGAAATTTGTTTATCAGAGCCTATAATAGAAAAAACGAGCACATTAGAAATTTAAACATGCTTCTAAGAATATATTGTATGCCCAATAGTCTTATATATAAGTACGACATATTACGACTGTTTCACCGCATATCGAATCCTTTTCTTATTGAAGGTACACCTCATGTAACTACCTTCAGGCTTCTACATGATATTTCAAGGTAGACACTGGTAGCAGAGAGTCCAATGCGATCTGCGCGGGTAGACCTACTTTGCTTCGTCCCATGGCGCGTCCCACAACTTCGTTCATCCAAAGCTTCTTCCGTAGAACTGTGATCCCTGTCGTCTCCCTGCGTTTTCCTCTTCGTCTGCCGCCCTGGGCTCCTTGAAAGCCTAATGACCAATCTAACAATTCTAGGGCTACTGCCTTCATAACCATCATCAGGAATGAGACACGAATGAGCTGCTGGTAGTAGGTGTCCATTTTAATCCAGACATATATTTCTCTACGTGTGTCTACATATATTAGATACGTACGAGCCTGCAACTGCCTGAGGCCACAGCACTGAGTTGATTGGCCTGAGGACAGATTATTTTGTTATTCGAGACATCAAATAGGAAGTGCATATACGGAACGAGTCATATAAGTTTATGGGACTTACGTACTTGGTATGATCGCATGACATCACTATAAGGACTTCACGCTGACTAGTTTATACAAATTTATGTCGATAGTTCTGTGTATAATGCGAGTTGATTAATCCAACAAGACAAGGGTTACTTTTGGTGGCATTGTAACCTACCTATATATATTTGAAAATACATAGCAAATGGCTTTGAAACTATAGGGATCATTCCAAGCTTTCTGTATAGCGAAGAGCATTGCGTTACGACTATAAGTAGCCTGACGGAATGATGACCAGTGGATTTAAATGGCCTCAGCGCATTTGGATAGTGACCGACGTAAAATTAGGGCGTACGATACATGATAAAATTTACATAAACCTGCTGGTAATCCGTTCACACATGAATGCTAAGACATTCGAGTGATGGTTTCAACGAATTTATTCATTGCCACAGCTAACGATCCGCAGATCGAAAGTACTCAAAAGATAGGTGGATTGTTTGCCATGACACTAGTAGGCCTTTTTCGAACCTACTACTATTTCTATAGTCGACCTTCGACTAAGTGAAGATGGAAAATATATGTTATCGTGAAATCATAGCATTTATACACATTAAGGAATCAGACTTATTCAACCAGTACGTTATGCGATAAGACTAGCACATTTTTTAATGGAAGCTATCAATACGCTTACCTTTGTTAGCAATGCAGAAGCTTTCGTTCTATTGAATAACTCCATCACGTCAGTTATCTTCCGTTTAAAACGAAGCTCCTTAAATCGCTGCTACTAAATATTCGTACCACGAATCCACTACCAAATATAAAGTGGTAAAATAAGTCACTTGGTCAGTATTTTTCAGCGGTGCTACTGTGTATCACTGCTGTTGCAGCTGCGCTGTCGTAGGTACGTTAAGGCCAAGGATAGGAACAAGAAAGTAAACCGGTTTCCTTGTTCTTAATTGCGATTATAACGCTGATGACGCGGCCGTCTGTTGGGACATCGTTGTTACGCCCGTTATTTTCATCGTTGATGTGCAATCGAACGTG